CTTGCCTTCTAGGTATTTTTTAATTTCTGTATTAGTATTGCCCATACACAGATCAAGGTTTTGCTTCATGGTTTCTTTTTTCAGGTTAGGCATTTGACAAATATCATCTAGTTTATTTGGTGAAGCCTATAAGAATTGAGTAGTTGTTGTCTTGTTAACTTGAATTTGAACGGTTAGTACTATATGTTTGGACTTGTTAATTTTATGCTGAAATTGCTATTACTTTGCATTGTTATTAATGTATTTGGACAATTGTTGTTGAAGAATTAGTACTATTCCAGTTGTGGCCACTGGACAGAACGCAGAAATGGATTTCTTCTCTTTTTTGCTTAACTCCAGTGAATTGTCTTCTCTTTTTGTCTTAACTGTAGATCGAGTTATCTTATCGGGTAAACTGATAACCGAACCGGTAATGATCGATAACCGATTAACCGATAACCGATAACCTATAACTTATCGGTTCTGTTATCGGTTTATCAATTTTGTAAATCGATAACCGCTATGCTAAATCAATAATATTCATAACCGAACCGAACCGAACCGACCGATGCCCACCCCTAAGTGACGATCCTCACAAAATAGGAAATTTTTATTTTTCATAGATACTTGTAGAGTTGAAAATAGCTTTTGTCAATTTTAAGTGAAACTAATGAAAAGAAAAACAGCGAAAAGGAGGAAACTAAGGGTGAAATTGACAGGAAGGAATAATATTTTTAGAAAAATATATTCTAAGTTTTTTATTTTTGGTTGGTCTACATGTTTTGAAAAATATTTTTTTATGAATTCATTTTCCTTCAACCGGAGTAAAATGATTCCCCTATTAAAACGAGGGAAAATATTCTCTAAAACTCTTTCTCAATCTTCCCCACCACACCCCCCTGGGTGGCTCGACTATAAGGCCAGTAAAGCAATCGTTTGGGGTCCCAACTTTTTGGGACCCCCGTTTTTCCCTTAAAGGTGTATTGTATATGTATTATTAAAAAGAATTGTGTACATTTAGATTTAAAAAAGAATTTTTAGAGAGAAAGTAGAATAACTTTAATGTGAGGATCGTTATAATAAGTAGAGAATGGAACAATTTTTAATGAATTGTTTCCTTACATGGGTAGTTTATTTTTACCTTATTTATATCCTAACAACTAATACGACCCCACATTATTATTTAAATATTTACTTTTTTTATTCTCTCTTTTACTATTCTTATTCTCAATATTGAAAAGTCTCTCAACCGGCAACTTACCGCGGCTTACAAGTTGTCTTCTTCAAAGCATTACAACAAGCAATCATTATATTGAAGCAATGCAACACTTTCCGATATCATTATATCAACTTATCTTGCTCTATAGTTTCTTACCCTTTGATTTTTGCTACTATCTATCGTTTCTTATATTTCGATTATCTTATTTATCTGCGATAGCTACTGCTCCTTTTTAGACTGCTTTATCATGACTTATTTGCTTTCGTTACTTCCATTTTTATACTGCATTAAATTGACTGTCCTTATCTGGCCTTTTTTATTTTTGGCCATGCTTTCTGTTGAACCTATGGTCTTTTGGAAACAACCTCTCTACCTCCCAAGGTAAATAAGGTGTCACGACCCCAGTTCACCCTCCATGAACATGTCGTAATGGCACCTAGTTCCTACAACTAGGTAAGCCTAGAAATGCGAAAATTAACTTAACTTGCGGAAAAATTTAAAAACTGAACATGCTAAAATAATAACTGCGAGTACGGCCACTCGGCCTATACAACTCAAAAGAAATGCGGAAGTCTACAACATAATCCCAAAATCCGAAAACTCACGGGAACCACAGGCTAATAGAAATACCGTAAATGCTCTAATCTCCAGAATGTCTACATCAAAGTATGATAGAATATAGACACTATAGCTAGAGTAAGGAAGAAGACTCTTCGGTCTGCGGACGCTGCAGATATACCTCGAAGTCTCCGTAGCTCTCCCCGCCTCAAGGGTAAAGCGCCTGAGTGGAGGTACCTGGATGATCTGCACATGAAAAACATGCGCAGGAAGGGCATGAGTACACCACAACGGTACTCAGTAAGTGCCAAGCCTAACCTCGGTTGGGTAGTGATAAGGAAAGGTCAGGGCCCTACTAAGGTAAAACACAATATATAATAGGTTAAGGGAAACAGTATAGATAAAGTCTACAGCAAGAATCTAAACAGGATAAATAAGGGAAACAGTAATAGGAAGCAGAAACAAAACAATATAAGGAATACTGCTCACAACAGGAAGTAATAGCCGGGGATCTCTTGGTATCCTCATCATATACACTAGGGATCTCTTGGTATCCCGAGGATATCTTGGTATCCTTATCATTTACCCGAGGATCTCTTGGTATCCTCATCATATACACTAGGGATCTCTTGGTATCCCGAGGATCTCTTGGTATCCTCATCATTTATACGAGGGATCTCTTGGTATCCCGAGGATCTCTTGGTATCCTCAAATCTTACAATTACATGTGCCGGGGATCTCTTGGTATCCCGCACCTCAATCCAGAACATAACAAGTACAGGGGGATCTCCCGGGATGCCGTCCCGTAGTCCCAATTTAAAACACACAATAACAGCTCAACACATTAGGATAAATGCTAAACTCAGAACAAGTAATAGAAATCCTAGCCTAACATGCTCCACGGAGTACAACAAGACAGTTTAAGCACTTAAGCAAGTAAGTCAACTAAACATGCTTCTCTAAACTAGCATAGGATAAACTTACAATTCAAAATAAACAGGTAAGCAAGAAAAACTCAATTTAAATACTTCAAGTAAAAACGGATTTCCAACAATTAGCTCAAGTACGTGCTCGTCACCTCACGTACGAGGCTTTCAAATATCAAATATCATGTCCTAAGGGGAAGAGGTCCCCCACACAAGGTTAGACAAGCCACTTACCTCGAACCGGCTCAAAATCAACTAGAAATCACACCCTTGCCACGAGTATCCGACTCCAAATGGCCCAAATCTATTCAATTCAATTACATATCGTAAATAACATCGCAAATAACTGGTTTTGCTATTTAATTCAAAGCTACGACGTGAAATTAGGTGAAATGACCAAAATGCCCTTCAGGCCAATGTCTCGGACTCGAATAATTTTTACATTTTCAGAACCCTCGTACTCTCACGAGTCTAACCATGTAAAAATCTCCCAAATTGGAGGTCAAATGCTCACTCAAAACTCAATAGTTTAGCCTATGAAGTTTCACCCAATTTTCCAATTTTTTTGATCCTAAATTCGAATTTTAATGATGGATTTAACTACAAAATGATGAAATATAACTAGAAGGGATTAAAGAAACGTTACCCAATAGTCTTCTCTTCAAAACCCTCTGAAAATCGCCCTTCCCCGAGCTCAATTTGATTTTTCTAACTTATGAAATCTAACCCTCGAAATTTCTATATCTGCACAGGCATTTCCGCTTCTGCGGACAAGGGACCGCTTCTGCGGTCCCGCTTCTGCGGAACAAGAGCCGCTTCTACGATTTTCATTAAAAATCCAGGGTTCCGCTTCTGCGGTCTTAAACCGCACCTGCGGTTGCCGCTTCTACGAAATACTTACCGCTTCTGCGGTTTCTCACAAAAAACCCGGGGACGCATCTGCGATAGAAGCCTCGCATGTGCGTAACCGCATCTGCGGTAGATCTTCCGCACCTGCGGAAAAAGCTGAGGGAGCCCAAATTCGCTCCTGCGATTGAGTGGCCGCTTCTGCGGTTCCCAAGTCGCAGAAGCGAAAATACCAGAAGAGAAAAAAAAACAGTTGCTGCAACACTTCAAAAATTTCTCCGTTAACCACTCGGAATCATCCCGAGGCCCCCGGGACCTCAACCAATAGTACCAATAACACCTAATACCTCATTCAAACTTGTACCAATCCTTAAACCACCTAAAACAACGCCGGAAACTCGAATTAAACAAGGATTTGAGCCTAAGAACTTCAATTTTTATCAAAACACGCTTTCGATCAAAAACCTAACCAAAACACGTCCGAATGACCTAAAATTTTGCGCACACATCCCAAATGACATGACGGAGCTACTGCAACTTCCGAAATTCCAATCCGACCCTCGGATCAAAAATTCACTATCGGACCGGAAACATCAAAAATTCAAACTTCGGCATTTCAAGCCTAAATGAGCTACGGACTTCCAAATTACATTTCGAACACGCTCCCAACCCCGAAATCACCTAACGGAGCTAACGGAACCATCAGATTTCCATTCCGAGGTCGTCTTCACACTGTTCCAACTACGAACCATTTTTTAATACTTAAGCTCTCATTTAGGGACTAAGTGTCCCAAAACTCTCCGAAACTCAACACCGAACGTCCTGGCAAACCAAAATAGCAGAGATGAACTTAGGGCAAGCAGTTAATTGGGGATCGGGGCGTTAATTCTTAAGACGACCGGCCGGGTCGTCATACAAGGTTTGTGTACAATCTACCTTTCTAGAGCCCATTTTGTAGGTATTCACTGGGCAGTATATCAACTTATCAAATTCTTGAGCCGGTTGTCTTATTCTAACTTTATTTTATATTTTTTTCATTGCAAATTTATTGTTGATATTCTTACTTAGGGCCTCTCTCTGAAATTTGGCTTTAGGCCCCTAATCTTGTTGAGACGGCCCTACACACCCCTCCCCTACCCCCCCCCCCTCACCCCCTTCCCCGCCACCCCACCCATGTCGGCACCCCCTAACCTTGCCACTGCCACTCCGGCCACTAGACCTCGACCTACCATCCTCCCCGTCCTAACCTATTTCACCTCATATAGTGTTTGTCAAGATTTCATATTTCTCTAAAAATATTTTCTGCTATCTAATGAACCGAAAAATAAATAATAAAAACCCTTATTTTCCAAAAAAACATTTTCTAAGGATAACATTTTTTCCTTGGTACCAAACACACCCTAATGTAATACGTTATTTTGCTACTTAACCGCTTACCCCATTAATAGCTCGAAGCCTCGAACTAATGAGAGACAAGGTATTCGTAATGGTCATTTTCACCTAGAGGCAGGTCTCTTTATTTGTTCGTTTCGAGGGAAAATCCCTCTAGTTTCTTGACATCTACAGGTTGGAGCAGCTGTTCCTATTTCCTTTCTTTTTTTTCCCGGATTAACTAAAAAATACTGCATTTCAGGAGTTTACTGAAGTGCATTATCCAATACACTATAATATTCTTTCTCTGATTGAAAGAACGTATAATTGTCATCTTTGTCAAACACAAAATCACAGATTCGACTGTAACTATGGCTAGTTCTGGTTGTCAAGGCCTATTCTTTATACTTCTCTCCATAATTCTTGCTTTAACAGCAATTACCACGAGCATGCATTCAAAAACATCAACTAAAAACTCAAATTCATCTCACCAATTCCTCAAACACGCCCTTACCATGAACGCTTCCAAAGCTCTTCGAAATCAAGGTTTCAACATCTTAGCTACACTCCTTCAAATCTCTCCTGAAATCTTCCTCTCTACTCCTCAATCCACCATTTTTGCCGTCCAAGATTCCGCCATTTCCAAGCTCTCTCTCCCTTCTTGGGCAATGAAACAACTCCTTCAGTACCACACTTCCCCTTCTAAACTCCCTTTTCAACAACTCTTGATAAAGTCCAAAGGAAGTTGCTTAACGACCCTTTTGTCTCAAAAAACCATTGCCATCACAAAAACTGATATAAAACACAAGTCTGTTGAGATCAACAATGTGTTAGTTTCTCATCCTGATTTGTTTCTTGAAGAAAGTCTTTCAATACATGGAGTTACTGGAGCTTTTTCTGACTTGGATTTTCATGCAATGGACGAACACAGTGACATTATTCAATCACCTATTTGTGAAAACCAGATATCAAATGCAAGTAAAACTGATCTCAAGAACTTGGTTGATTGGCCAAGAATTATTAAATTACTCAGCTCCAAAGGATATGTTTCTTTTGCAATTGAATTGCATTCTGTTCTTGATGGGGTTTTCCAAGATTCTGCGAATTTGAGTTCTGTAACTATCTTTGCTCCACCAAATTTGGGGTTTTTATCATCCCCTTCACCATTGCTGGAAAGAATTGTAAGGCTTCATATAATGCCCCAGAGGTACACTTACATGGAATTGGCTTTCTTGCCTGACAATTCATCCCTTAAGACACTGGCTCCAGGCCTAAATGTTACTATTTCTAAGAGCAATTTCTCCCGTATCTTGACCATTGATGGTGTGGAGATTACAGCGCCAGATATTTTCGTGTCCAAGACGTTCATCATCCATGGAATTTCTCGGGTTTTTGAGTTGGAGGAGCTATCCATTTCATTCAGATAATAAGCTTTCTTAATTTGTGTCTTTACAGCATTAGCAGCTTCTGTTAGATGTATGTGTTCATTTCAATTTAGGATTAAGATAGGAGTAGTAGATATGGAAGTTATAGATGAGAAATAGTACTCAGATAATTTCAAGAGGTACTGATTCTTATGTTTAGTTTTGTAGCTAAGCTGAGTTGATAAACACCCTTTTACTATTTGCTAATTCTATCAGAAATATATTCAGATAAACACCCTATTACTATTTGCTAATCATTCAAAGAGTAATAAATCAGGTAGCAACACAAAACTAAGAAAAAAGGTGCATTCCAATTTTCAAGGGCTGATTTTTCCTTTTTTTCATTTGGATAAAAAGATAAAAATGTATAATATACTCTAATAGGATTAATATAAAAGGTTGTGGATCGATATTTAAAAGGGGAACTCTGGTGTTAACTGTTCCAGAGAATTTGGAATCCACTGTGATCACCTGTCTATTATATGAAATCTGTATTCGAATAAAGACTCGACAAACATGCAACTGATACTTGTATTATTTTGTAAAACAAACACACAGAATTGCAAGTAAGACATCACTGTGCTAAAGCATAATGTGGTACCAGTTTTTCAAACAAAAATCCTAAACCTTCAGCATTACATGGGAATGATTCCAGCGAATTGCAGTGGCTGACTTCCAAGTATTTGAGGTACTGCAGTTGAGGAAGTGAAATGGGATCTATCCATGCTGGTGTGGTTTCTCCAAGGATGTCCTTGTCTTCACAGTCACATGCATTGACCCTTAGTAGTTGAAGTTGTTTTAATGCAGCCAAATCCTGTCCTCTATCACGCTTTCCTCTGTTATGTCTAATTGCAATACCCCAAGTTGAGTCAGTGCCACGACCAAGCTTCTGTTGTTGCTGGATTCGGTATCTTAAATCTGTACAACTCTTCAAGATTGGAAAGTCTAGAGACACCTTGAGTTAAGCATGAAAAAGACGGACATATGTTGGTAGCTTTTTCAGTTCCTCTGAGAACCAGTATTTGGAGGCCGCCGCATAAGTTCCTAACCAAATCTGGAACTTTATCCAACTTTGCAACATCTCTAAGATTCAAATAAGCTATCCGTTTTAGTGATGTGACCAACTCTTATCATCATCGAGCAATCTTGGTCGACGAATTTTTGATTCTTTGACTCCCATTCTCATCCTCATTTCTTGATGTGATTATAATACAACTATTGAGTCTGACCACAGATTCATTTAAAGACTTTGTCATTTGCTGCCATCTGATTTGCTAATGTTAGAAGAGTGATTATGGTTGTCTTGTTACGGATAACAAATTGTATGAGCCTTACATCTTAATTGCCCTGTATCACCACTCAAAATTTCCTTGTCAAGATACAGGAAACGAATTTTAGAAAGTTCATAGAAAAATTATTCCAAACTGACCAAAGTGAGAAGGAAAAGTATTCTGGTAAAGATGTTCCTCAATGCTAGAGCAAGGACAGAGTAATGTGAACCTGCGTAGGCTAATTTAGACTTTTAAAATTGTAATGTAACAATGCTTTTCAAATCCTCCTATCTAGATATTACATCCTACTGTAATAATGCTTTTCTATGTTGTGGCATATTCACGGATCTCCTGGATTCTTGTGTGGCCAACTAATTATTTGACCTGGTGCAAAATTTTTTTACCTCTCCACATTCATTTACTAGCCTGATTAGCTGAGTTCTGCCAACTATTTTTTTTGTCCCCTCCCAAGTGTTGCAAAGTATTAGATTAATGGAAATTTCCAAGTCTAAGAAGGTAAGGTGTTCACATATGAGTTTTATAAAATTTGAAAATCTAAAGAAGCTATTCTGAAGCTTCTAGTAAGTCATATGAAATGCAACTATAATACAATCTGCGCACCACGAATACAACTAAGACGAAGTACAGAAAGACAGGGGTGTATACAAGGATACATACAACAAAAATATAGGGGTATATACATGGGATTTGCCAGAAAATTTCTTCCTCGGAATACAGAAATACAGGTGAATTGCTTTAAAATTCAAATATAGCCAGGAAAGATAATTTTCTAAAAATGTAGCTACGAATGATAAATACAGTGTATAAGTTAGCTACATCATATGATTTTTCTTTGCGAGAAATACATTCAGCTGGCTAAAAAGGGAATCTTACATAAATGTCCCAAATAAGTTCTAACTTACCAACCTCTACCTATTAATCATAGACTTACCAACCTAGCCAAGCACATATAAAAATTAAAAACCCAAATACATAAGGTTCTTTCTCTTCGAGAATCAGAAGCAAAGATCTCCTTCCATATTTTTAAGCGTGATCAGCAACATTAGATGCAAGACGGAAAGGAAATTCATGGATGAGGTAGCAAACAATGTGATGAAATACAAATATATATATATATATATATATATATATATATATATATATATATATNTATATATATATATATATATAGAGAGAGAGAGAGAGAGAGAGAGAGAGAGAGAGAGATATCCCAATAATCTAAGCAAAAAGGACATTTTTCAATGGGTATGGTTGAATTTATTGAAAACATATAGATTAGTCAATATACAAAATTTGAGGAAGATTGAAGGTGATTTGGTATCAAAATTCGCAGTTAAAATCGAGTTCAAAAAAATACTTCTGCGACATATGTATCAAACATGTATGACGCATGTATCACACACACAGGTACACATGGATATACATGTGATACACATTTAATCCAAATATGATACATATGTGATACACCAATGTTACTCAGTGTGATACATATATCATTTTTTTTTATGTTCATCTTCTACTTCGAATTTTCAATTCAAACCACCTCAAAATTCCATCAAACCATACCAAAACTAAGGTTCAAACTCCTTAATATGTACCCAATATATTCTAACAACACTCACTCAAAAAAAAAAAAAAAATTGACGTTTTTTAGCTACAAATAGCTAATTGGCTTATTGTTAATATTTAGCTAATAATAGTAATATTTTATGAATTGACCAATTTTTATAATAAGCTATTTATAAATTGACATAGCTGATAGTTTCCCATAAATTCAGATTTTTCATTTGGGCTTTGTTGACTCTGCTTTTTATTTCTGGAAAGAGGCGTTAGTTACAAAAGACTGAGAGGCCATCCCTCTTGGACTCCGGCCCAAGATGTTCTTCCATAGACATTTTTAGCTAGTTTATCGAAATTTTACCAAGAAATATTATTCATGGTTGATATTTTTAAAAATCTTTTCTTAAAAAGTTTCCTAGAGTATTGGAAGAAGAATTAGAGAGGATACCAAAAAAAATAAAAGAAATAAAGAATGAATAACAATTAACATCAACTTCAACAATAATAATATTAGAAGTTTGTAATGAAAAACTTCCAAACATCTATAGCTATATATCCATTACGTTATCTTCTTAGAAAGGAAAAATAGATTAAAAGGATTGATTAACTCAATTGTTCCACAATTATTGTCCAATTGACAAGTACTGAAACAAAAGTCGTCTAAATTTAGAGATGGCTGCCTGACAGCTGGTATACGTAGTAACTCGTAAATTATTGAAACTAGTATAGCCATGGTGTGTTCAAAGTGTAGGTCAAGAAGATGTTGATTGCTAGCTATATATAAATGAAGATGTCACGTTCATACGTGCTTCATTATCCACAATATCATGCAACCTTTGTAGGGGACAAATGGACTCTAAGCTAAAAAACTATCATAATCATCTCCCTTTCAGTGTCTTTTGCTTTTGGATCGGACAGGTTTCGTTCCACTTTTTCTATTCACAAATTTCCTACAAATATGTCTTCTCATATTTTTCCATTTCGAAAGACGTTTAGGTGAAGTGCATTGGTTCCATTTTTGCAATTAATTTCAAGACAATTTTGGTAAACTTTGGTCCCATTTGTAAGCCAATGCAAGTGCACGAATGATCTTGCATAAAAGTATACACTGTTGCACTACAGGCTTAGGATTGGCCAAGACTTGTCAATAAATGTGGAGTACTCAAATGGCCACATTATGCATGCATCTAAACTGCAATTCAGATTCTATGGTTCATGTTTTGCAATTTGGCGATATTACAAACATAGTCTTTTGCGATATGATATCAGAACTGGTCAACATGCTTAATCTTTCTTTTGATCCGTCATGTCAAGTAGACCTTAATTAAAAGAATCCAGATGATAAAGTTTAGCCAGTGGTGACAATTTGAGCCTAGACCTATTTGATCCGCCCAACCCATCCAACCCGCCCAGGTTGGGTTGGTTATTGACCCGCCTAATTATTGAACTCAGTCCATTTTGGCCCAACCCATTTCACCACATCTAAAGTTGGGTTGATTTTCAGCTCAAATTGATATATGCGTAATTTTGCTAAAATAACTTAATTTTTTTTGGATATGTTATATATGACCGTAACGAAAGAAAAAGTCTTATTTGATAATTAAACAATTCATAAGAAAATACTCCACATTAATTAAAGTTTGATAAGAGTTGGGTGGGTTGGGTTATGACCCAAATTTTAGCCCAACTTAATCCAACCCATCTCGGCCCAAGTTACTATTTATTGACTCAAGCCATTTTGACCCACCCAAAATCAGTCCTACACGCCCATTTAACACCCTTGAGTTTAGGAACCAACAGGGATGTCGTGTCATGTTCTCTTATCGTACGCGATTCAAGATTTTAAGTCAGTCAGCGGTAAGTAACAATATACTCAAAAATCACTAATGACAATTAATAAGTGTAAACTTAATTACGTACTCTCTTTTTTGATCTTCCAATGTTGTGATGCATGACTTGTGCACTGTTAATTGATGTTGAAGTTTCATTTTAAGAAGTTCATGGCACAATGCAGATGGCTGTCAACTCAAACAATCATTGTCACATATAGATTCAGAACCATTTTCAGCTATAAAACAGAAAAAAAAGTTATGCAAAAAGATGGATGAAATAGTAAAACATATTTATGAATGAAAACATGACTGTCGGATATACTGTTTAGGTTGAGGGATTAGGTCTTTATAAATAGTGCCTAGTGCCCAAGGCTGTTGAAAAATTGGAGAATTTATGACCAACGCGGAAAAGATTGTCCTGTGACCAATCTCATCGAGGTGAGTCATAATATCTTCGTGATGTTGATAATTGGCAAATTTAGCACGTGATGGTTTAAA